ATATATATATATATATATATATATATTATCAAAGAAAAGTAAATACAGTGTTCGAATAAAGGACATTATGTTATTATGTCCTTTATTCAAACACTGTATTTACCTTTCTTTGATGATTTATATATAATTTAACAGTGTTAACGGCTATCTTGATTTAAATTATACGCAACTATTTGTTTTTAGCCGAACTTATTGTGTAATGGAGTGTATATGGTTTTATTTGAATCTGTTCAACCATGAAGCATCCGTGGTCTAATGGTTATGACACCTTGACAGCGAGAGGTCGCAGGTTCGAGTCCCGCCAGAGGCATTTTATTAAACAATTTCTTTAATCATTTATTTACTTGACTACATTCGTTGAGAGCTATGCTACACGATATATTATTATGTCCTTTATTCGAACACTGTATTTACCTTTCTTTGATGATTTATATATATATATATGTATATATATATATATATATATATATATATATATTTATATACCATAAATACAATATTTTTTGTGTTCTACTGTTTCTCATCATCATTATTTTTGTTTATAGTCATATATATTCAAATACGTCTGCTGTGTAGCACCTTAAACACAGTACAAATGTTGAATATTAGCCTATTTCCAAGCTGCGACCTACAATACAGTTTCTAGAGAAAGTATCAGGGGTTAGATCTACACCTATACCATATAGTTTCCAATTTGAACCATGTTATTATTATAATAGGCCTATAATGTACAGTAATTATTCGATTTCTAATCGATCGTTGTTATTATCATTTTGTATATATTTGTTCTTTAACGTGGACATGGCCATATTACACACGGCATCAGCTTTATAAACGTCCGATCCGAAATACAGTGCGCTATCATAACTTGTATTTCAGCCCTCCAGTTGAAACAAAATGAGATCTGCGATTAATTGAACCAGAAACCAAAGATGGAGGAGGATTTCATGGTTCAGCGCACCCACCGTGACTACCACAAGTTTAGTCAACTGACCTACAGTTAAGTAAATCTACAAAAGTTGTTTTGTCGATGTTTTCTAAATGTGTAAAAAACTTTGTGAAATATTTCATATTGATGCATGTTCTGCCATAAGTGATGGTTTCATTGCTTACATTTACATTACTGTACTTCAATAAACGTACCGCACTGGTTGTCACTTTTACTGATTTAAAAGTTTAGTTTTCAAATAAAGTTGTTTTTATTACGCTGGACTTGAGATTGATACGATATTTTAGTTTAAAGCATCAAGAATATAATTTATGGAATATACATTAATTACAAATTGCATTAGCTAAATGTTGTTTTAGTTTTCTGTTACAATTCATGATTGCTTTATTTTTATGTACAGTATTGCTGTTTTTTGGTTTTTTTTACGAAACTGAAAATAATTTATAAATTGAATTAAATTGAATAGTTGTAAAATAGTGCCATTTATGTATTTTAGAGATAGAACATGCTATTCAGGCAAAAGTGCCATTGACAATACAATAAAATTCAACACAATATAACTTTATTCGTCCCCCAAGGGCCAATTCAAAACGATAAGTCTAGATTACAAAGGGTAAATGTTGCATTAAATTATATATACTTCAAATTTAATTTTTTAGTAACCATTGTATAAATGTCAGCAAGCCCTGACATGAACGAATTTATTTTTTTC